GGGTACTGCTAGGTTGGCCAGCCACTAAGCAGGAGAACGATTAGGGTTCTCAACCAAAGCCTTTCGTTTTGACAAAAATCTCACCGCAAAGCAGCGGTTAAGGCGGATTGGAGGCTCATTAATTCCGATAAATTATTCCTCCAACACGTTTTATCGACTGAGGCATTGACTCAATTCGAACCCCCAACCTGGAGGACCAGGAGACTGGATTTCGTCTGACCTCTACCCATTGACCCTCCAAGCATGATTAGATCTTTGGCTCGGTAAAAGCCATTGGATCATAGAGGTGCACAAGCCATGACACCACGTCAAGGTGTAATCTCGTCGTGATGGTGCAGTCTCGTCGTGATGATATCTAAAAAGCTAGATTCTCAGTTCTCCACATACAACCAGCCTATGAAACACCTTGATGATTTTTCACAATCATGCTGTACTAAATGCCTCAATCCGAGCCTGAACAGAGATCATCCAACGTGTGCAGCCGTGAGAGCTAGTAACGAGTAACTGAGCTTCGTGCACGAAGTTCAGGTAGTAGGATTGACTCTTGTAGTATTTGGAAAGTGTGGGCACAGTTCTGTACTCCACTATATGAAGAATTGAGTGCGATTTGCTCTGGTAAATTGAAGTTCTCATTTTTTGTCAAGTCGAAGCCAGGACCGATTCCAGTAAAAAACAATAAGATAAATAATCTTATTGTTGATGGACTGTTGCGGTTCAGCGTACACTTGCTTGATGATTCCCATTTGGAAGGACGTTTGTCAATGTTCCATTGACCATAGATTATAATGATGGTGGAAAAAGTAGATGTTCGTTATCTGCATTTGGGTACTCATGAGTAGTGCAGAATGGGAGACCAAAATTGTATGTCTTTTCAACCGAAAAACGCTAACAAATTGGGCGTTGCCGAAACCAGACAACGGATTGTCAAAAACAAGGTACGGGTTCTCGAAACCAAAGTTGTTCAATCCGNCATCCCATAACTCAGACGAACCATATTTCGCCTCGAGCGTTCAGTTACAGTTTCAATAACCAAAACCGGCGCACGACAGTGTTCATCTATTGGTTGTTGAAACTGTAGCTGAACGGAACTCCTAAGACTTCACACGCCTTAGACGAAATGCGGTNGGGATCTGTTTCGGTTTGAACAACTTTGGTTTCGAGAATCCGCACCTTGTTTTTGACAATCCGTTGTCTGATTTCGGCAACGCCCAATCTATGTTACCACCCTTCGGAGTATGATAAAGATGATGTTGATCAAACTAATTCCTCTGTGGTTTTCACAAGAGGATCTGTCAGATTTCTTGTAAATCGTTATGATCACCGATTCACACCATTCTGTTGGAACCTCTTCTCTCTCTTACAGGAGTTTCATTAGCTCAAGACGAAGGCTGAACCTCTATCCTTAAAAGCCGATGGGGACAGCCCGTCGGGGCCGCAAGCCTTATACTTTTGATATAGCTTATATCTCCGGTAACCTCAATTTCGGATGGAGGACTGATGTCGAATGGCAGTATTTACCCAGTATAGATAGATCTTATCAACAGCCAGCAGAACTGCACCTTAAAATGCGCTGCCTAACGTTCAAGACGGCGTTCCCGAATTTGAATCAGTGTGCCGTTGGACTACTTAATTACCTCACTTACGCCCACTTTCCTTGGTCCTGTACTCCTAATTAAATGAAAAAGATTACGACTATTACCGATAACCGCAGTCTTCTCCATCTCTCTACACTTCTCGCGTTCATTTCTCAGACTCTTGATGAGCTGGCGTTTGAGGGACTTGCGCGTTTTGTCGTATTTTGCATCAGAAGGAATAGCATTGCGAGTGTCTAGAAGGGCAACGAAGGTAAAGGAAATCCATCGCTTTTGCATTGATCGTGCACCAGAACCCGCCGTTTGTTCGTTTGGCATTTGGATCGCTTCTTTGATTGTCGTCCAGTGTCCACTGATGGTTGAGCTGAGAGGCGATCAGATATTTCCGCTTTCAAGGCCGATTTGCAACCGTTGCTGATACTATATTGTGGGCATCCGTTTTCGGTGGCTTTTCTGCTTTGTTTACCAGGCGTAAGGAGAACCTCGCTTGTAGCAAAGCATGGTACACGTCCACGGGGGTTGACCAGTAAGAGGGGCAATCTTCAATGGATCCTCACCAATGGTGGCTGATGGCAATGTGGTCGATTTGAGTCCAGCGCTGTGAAGAAGTTAGCGATCTCCATGTGAAGCGATGTCGTTTCTTGTGCGAGTTCGTGTTTGGCAGGAACCGTCCGTGGTCAGCGCGAAGTTGGAGTAAACGTTCTCTATTGTCAGTCCGGTTAGCTGAGATTGCATGTGAACCACCAAGTAGCCTCTCTGATTCGTCCAGGCAGTCTGGCTAAGCACATACGTCTCCAGCAACTACCACGATATCCGTTGACCGCGCACCTTGGAGCAGTTGAGAACGATAGAATTCATCCTTCATTTCTGGCGAACTGCAACCAGTCGCTACATACACCGATACGACGAATAGGCATGGACGCTTCGTTCTATAGATGTTAACCAGATGGACAGTGCAGAATCAGCTACTAATCGGGATCCAGACGAGAAGCGAACGCTCGGCTTTGATACTCAGCGCAATCCCGACACCAGCAACACTGAGAGCTTCAGATGACAAGTCGCCTGACACGCAGAGTGAAGCGTGAGGATTAATTTGGATCTGGATAACGCAACATGAGTGAAGTAGGGCGTTGTATGCGTGTTTTGGAGACACAGCACGTATCGAAATTAGAATACTTCAAGGGCTCTAGCAAAAGCACCTTGTTGACCGCTCTGGTAGAGTGCGCGGACATTAAATGCGGCTAAGTGAAAAGGAGATTTTGATCTCAAAACTTTGATAGCCTCTGAGTGGTTGGCCTCATTAGTTGAATGTTGAGTGATATCCCATGGGTGGCGAAAACAGGAGGCATCTCCTAAGACTTGGGAGTGAGAAGAGGGACTGAACACATGAGAAAGAGGGTTTGCCAACTGGGTACCCACGATTTTTGAGCACGACATACTTCGCGCTAGCCCACATCGACGAACCCTGAACGGAGCCTTCGATTCAAAACTCTGACACTGTGGGCAAAGTCTTAGGAGGGAAGTGGTGAAGTGATTACTAAACACCCACCCACCGCCCGAACACATCCAGTTCAGCTGTGCGCACAGACAAGCTCCTTCAAGCAGTTGGAGATGAAAACGAATCACATCAATAACAAGGATAATATAGTCAATAAGCGCACGCTTTACATATGAGATGCAGGAAACCAGACAAAACATTTTTGAAAAATCCAAGGTGACAGAGGTCAGAAAATAGTATATTTAGCGATCAATTTTGTAACCTTTTTGTCGGTCTAATCGTTATCCATTCGTTCAGCATTGTTGTATTGATTAGGCTAGTGTAAGAAACTCAAGACCAAACAGCACTGTAAAACAAGCTGTAATGGCAATCACGACCAGACTACACCTTGACGTGATGTGATGGCTTATGCACCTCTATGACCCAACGAGCTCCACAAAATGGCCTTTGTCAAGCCGTAGATCTAATCAGGACTGGAAGCTCGAAGGGTAGATATCGAACGAATTCCAATCTCCTGGTCCTCTAGGTTGGTGGTTCGGTTGGAATTTGCGTTTCAGTCGGTAAAAATAATGGAGGAATAATTGATCCAAGTTAGTGGGCTTCCACTTTGCTTCACCCGCTACCTTCAAGCTTGGTTCTTGTCGGAACTAAAGTTTTGGTTGAGAACCTTAATCGTTTTCCTGTTTAGTGGCTGGACACCCTAACAAGACCCGTCCATCAAACCCCAATGCATACGCATTGCGAGTTTGGCAGCGATCAGTGAAGTTCGCTTCTCAGTATTTCGTTGTACGATGATGATAATGATGATCCCTTTGAACTGACAGGCTGTGGTGTCCCTTGAAACATGTTCCACCACCATGCAACAAAATCTAACCTGTGACGCCAAGAGGCAGAGGCGTGTAAAACCAGTCATACCAACGGCAAATCGCTCTACCAACGGACCAAACCAGATAGAGAGTAACTGAGGTCTTAAAACCTCGACCAGATAGCGTACGACTTGGGAAAACGAGAAATGAAATTTACCGTCTTATCCAACGGAGCTAGAAAGGAAATCTATTCAGCAAATAGAAGTGCATGAATCTCCGAGTTTAATTAAACTGCTAGCATGCATCACCAAACTGTAACCCTGAATGTCGAAATTCGTCGTGCGAAATCGGGGGGGGGGGGAGGGGGGCGCAGCCTCGTATAAAAAACGGGTTAGACTGGTGACCTTGGTTGAAAGAAACTCTCCTGAAAATTCAGTCTATGTGCAGCCGATCTGTACTCTTCAACGAACGAGTCGAATTGGAGTACAGTTTAGTTGAAAAAGCTGAACGAAAACGCTATGCGAGAAATAATTTAGGGTCGGACGCGGTTATCGTTATGCGAGCACAACTAATTCGCTATGAAGAACGAACTACGCGACAATTCAAGAGATGCGAAAATTTCTACATAGCAAAAATGCAATACTCTGTTCACTGACACATGAGATCAACAGGATAAATTCAACTCACAGTCGGTGTGCTCGGCGAATGTGAAATTTGAGAAGGACTGCGTCGTTCGACCGACTCGTACACAGTCAGACGACGTCGTTTGCAAAGTGATTTGGGATCTGCGATCCTCGATTCCGCAGCCGAATCCAAATACAAACTTGGCCGCTTTCTTGGGATCACGGAAGAACGCGACTGGTTTTCCAAGCGCTAGGTGTAGAAGCAAAAGTTCAGTGAAATAAATCGTGTTTCGTATTGAAAATGTTTTATGACTTAGTGCATCTTTGTGAGAAGTCTACAAGATGACCAAAAATAGTTACTCCATTGATCGGGTACAGATCAGCACTGCGACTATTTTCTTTCGGTCGGGTTGGGGAAAAACGAGGCTCAGAGAAACGATTGGCCCAAAACGATTCAAGTTGCTGAGAGCCAAGACTCAGAAGGGGGAGTATAACACATTATTCTATTGGCTCTGGCATCTCGCCCTTGTAGTAGTTAGGCGAATCAATGGATGTTGGCAGTAATTCATAACTTTCAACAAAACCTGTACCTGGAATAGGCGAATAACTCTAAAATATACCACCCAATGATTACGGAATAGAAGCAACTCAAACTTAGGCAAGTCTAAGCCAACATAACAGGGGGCATGACTGAAACCGCCCGCCCCCCTTCTTGTCCAATGTTTGATGTTACAGTGACACGCCTCATGACCATTACGACGAATACCCCCAACAATACTAACAAATATGTAATTTACATACATGTTTTGGAAGAAGCATCGTGCCAAAATAACAACCACAACAACAAAATCAAAACGACGAAGTTGGTTACAAACAAAGAATACATAATGTCAGATCCGAACGACGTTCGGAGTGTAACGAAAAACCGACGCGACATGTGATTTTTTATATAAGTTGTATTTATCGTAAAAATCCACTCGGACAGATATTCGAATTTTAATTCTGCACATCCACAATGCATAAAACGTGCAGGTATCTCGTCACTAGCAAGCAGGGTTGAAAATGTCTGCCACAAAGAAGCAAGACGCAAAGATGAAATGCGACGCTTAAACCGGGGACTCCAGGACAACAACCACCCACAGCGGTTTGTACGACACGAGCTTACCAAACCTAAAACAACCACGGAAAGCAAGGGTTTAATAGACTGGCTGGCATCCACTGGTATAACCTACAGATCGGGAATATCTGTGGCAATCAGAAATATCGTCAGTAGTTACAACATGCGGGTTTTCTTCCGGATAGAAAACACACTTCAACACAAGCTGTCCAAAGTCAAAGATCCAATTCAGATGCAGGACCAGAGCAACTGCATTTACAAGATCAGTTGCAGGGATTAACCTGCAGACTATATTGGACAAACATGCAAACACTTAGAGTGAGAATCACCGAAAAAAAATCGAGACCAGCTGATACCGCGCAGTTCAACAAACTCGAACGAGCTTCAGCAATCGCACTTCATGTCATTACCGAGGGACACCGTATCGACTATGAGAACACGAAAATTCTCCAACGAAGTTTTCAAACACTGAGCGCCTTTACACCGAGGCTTTGTCAACTAGTGCCCATCCTTGTTGTGTGAACCGAAAGACGGGGCAGGGGTTTCGAGCATCTGAACAGCGTTAACGTCACTTGCCAGCACTTGTCCTAATGCTGAGTTGACCTCAGATAACCCCGATCCGACAGAAAAACATTGCAAAAGGATGAGCCCAACTCCCGATCCGGATCGTTGAGGTTCACACAGACACGGGAACAGACTAACACACAAACGCACACGCACAGTGCGTGAGAATTTAGCTGGCAAACTCTTCCTAACTCATTTGATTGTAAAATCACCTTGATGAAGGTTACCCGCGGTAACCGAAACGTCGGATTATTTTCCCCCGCACCGACACTGCTGTGTTTCCACGATTACAACTTATATGAAACAAAGAATAGTTAACGAAAATAACAATTAGATTTGTGTGTGTGTACTTAATGATTTTGATATCATTGCTGAACTGAGCTCTATGGGGGAGGGGGCATAGATTTAAAACGGATAGATCATCAGGCATTCAACCAACGAAGTCAATTCCACGCCGAAAGTCCGTCGATCAACGACAATCATGAAACAATCATGAAAAAGTTAACCGAATCCGAACATGGTAGTTTGCGGGGAAAAGGTGAAAACAAAAAAGGGCATAGGCGTTGACATGGTAAACCGAGTGGCATCCGATTGACATACCGGCTGAGGAGAAGGAGATGGAGGAGTATGGAACAGAGCTTGATGTAAACCCAACGGTGTCCGTCGGATACACGGGGCGGACGGAGGTGTTTCCGGAGTGCTAGGAAAGGTGCGCGCATTCGTGCTACAGCACAGGATAGGAGATCGGGTAAGACCCAACGGGCCGTCCACACAATCTAACGGCAGACTCGCTTGGATTGGAACCGGAAGAGGAACATTGGGGCTGACGTTTTCTGATGGAGTATTGTAAACGGAATATGGGTTGTTAGCGTGTAGTTACAATCGCAAAATAACGGTTCAAACAATTTGAGAGCTGTACGCTAGCTGTTCTAGAAAAAACCAATACAGAAAAGTGAGACGAACCCAATGAGAAAAACAAACAAGATCTTACCTTGGAGGTAAAAAAAAATATTGGAGTCTCTACTGTTGAATCACAAGAAAGCTAGAAAGGACCGAAAATGCAACTGATTGTAGTGAACCATTGTTGTTTCAGCTCTCAAACTTTCGCACTCACCAATATCAGAGGCATCCGAGTAGAATCGATCTGGACTGAGTAGCCGGCGATGCCTTGCCGAATTCGGTGTCGACGGGCTCCGTACAGTCACAGCGGGGGAGTAGCAACCAAGGGGTGGTGTAGAATTCCCTGTGGTTGTTGTTGTGGGGCCGACAGAAAGACCGGGAAATCTCTGAACTACCCCACCCAAAGTTTCGGTAAGGGTGGCCGCATTGCGCCGACCGGCAGGACCGGAACACAGTACTGGAGGGACAGATGATGCAACCGCTATCTGCTTCGAACCATTTTGTTGTGATGAACAGGGTGGAGAAATCGCGCTCAGGAAGCACCGAATGTTGGATTGGCGGCGTCTGGCGGAAGCAGCAGATGGTGAGGTAGTTGTTGCCAAAGCGCTCGCTACAGCATGCTGTGCTGAACGATTCGGTGTGGATCGAGGAGATTGGACAATGCGTCGCTCCTGTTCACCGGGACTCATAAGACCTTCGGACGGAGACAGGCGTTCCGCCAAACCTAGAAAAGGGTGGGGACAGCAGTAAATATAAAAATAGTCCCATGATGAAACAGCAGTTTGTCGGGTTTATGAGGAATAACAGCATAGCCTTTATTTGATGGCAATGATTAGGTGGAACATTATCCAGTGAATCCGTAGTATCTCGGGGTATAAGTAGGACAACACTTACAGACCAAGCACATTCTAAGATATCAAACAAAAATAATCATGAGCTACGGGTGTTCACCAATGACCAGGTGGTCCGGAGGTAGGGGTTTTCAAGCACAACCTGAAGGTTCGTGACTGGAAACGCGGGAGGCAAACATAGAATGCACAACTGATGAGTTACACAGAGAGGGCTCGTTGTTTTCTTTTTCATTACATGAACAGCAGACGAGAAAGCTCCATAGTCAAGAAGATATGCTATTCGATGATGGGAACCGGTAACCTAAACCCCGCGACTTTGAGCGGCGGACCACATAAGGCCCCACTAGGTTAGGCATGGTGTTGAACCGGATGACAGCAAAGCTGCCTACTGCCAAAGGTGGCTGGCGGTAGCCGGGCTTGAACCTCGGACCATAGGGTCTAAAACACGCCGGTGGCAGCGACGAAGGCAAGTGTACTACTATCATCCAACAATCACGTACGAAACTTACATAGATGAAAATAAAATTCATAAGCACATTGAGCCGATGTTGTGAACCTGAGCATGTTTGAGTTTTGAGCTCCTAAAAGCTTCTGACAAACTGAACGGATCATTTTGGGACCATAAACGATAGCTAAATAACTGAGGATTTAGTTGCGCAACAGGCGCATTAACGCAAATGATTTATTTGGCATTGTTTGTCCGAAAGGCAGGCGACAAGGACTAAGGAAGAGTTTAATTGTCGACCGTTGATGTGGTATTTATTTAGTCATTCATACTACGGTGTATCTTTTTCCGTCAGTTCATCATTAGCTGATGGTAGGTAGTAGGTGGAAGAAGTCTTCCGGCAGAAGAACAATGAAAGTAAGCATCTGTACTGACGTCTACGAGCATCCTTCGTGTGATGAATGTTCGGCAGACTTTAGACCAATAAACAAACTATATGCAGGCTAAATCTCAATCATTTTTACACAATTTAAACACCAACCCGGGAGTGTGCGTTTCACGAAAATAAAATCACATAGATAAAGAACAGACGTACCGGCCAGTTCACCCGGTTGAGGAAGGATACACCGACGTGCAGGATACATGTTCCACACAAAGGCCCGAGAATCGTCTGACAAAGTGACGATTCGAGTAGGGTCAGATCGGCACCAACGGGGAACGCTAACCTCTCCGTTGTGTCCGGAGAGGACGACTGGGCACTGGCGTCGTTGACCGACTGCATAGATGTGTGCGCGTCGGTCTGAACTGCCACAGATGATGTATCGATCATCCGGACTGACGTCCAATTTGATGTAGAATGAATCTGTTTGATGCCCGGTATACGCGAAAACTAGGCGAAAGAAAGTCAAAGTGAAACTTGTGGATAGCACACAAGGAACTCAGAACATGAAAACTAGCTCATGCTAGTAGATCACCATTTCGCATTCAGCAAATTTCAAAGAAACTTAGATGAAAATGAACACCCACGAACTGTGTTAGGTGAAAATAGACTGGTTCCGATCTTTGCAAGCAGAATACAAATCCCGAGTTTCGTTCATCTAAACAAGTCTTTATGGTTTTCAATTTACCTAATGCAATTTCGGCCCGCTTCTCGGGTGAAAATGAATGATGTATTTAGCTAACACTTTTGGTAAGATGCACAAGCTTATAACGAAACTTGACCCTGGATTAGATTTTTGTTGCACATATAGATGCATGTTTTGGGGAACATTCAAGAAAAAAGATAAAATCATTGTGTTTAGTTTCAGTCCTAGCATTTTCTCTCCTATTGAAGATAAACTCTCACGATTACCGGACCGATTTTCTTTCATTAATAGGTCTTGTCTTAATGTAGTAAAGTAGACGGAAATCCAGTCCATCTGATGAAAAACGTCGGAGAAAAAAGTGAGGCGAACTTCACTGATCGCTGCCAAACTCGCAATGCATATCAGGTTGGTGGTAATATCTAAAGCGGACAGGGATTAGACCTAATTTGAGAGGGGGGAAGAAAAAGAAACTCTGTGATCAACACACAGCGAGTGCATATCGAACTCTGTACACAAACCGTTTCAAGCATTCTGGCCTGATAAGAAATGACAACAAGAACGCCACCGCTGTCGGTTCGCTGCCATATCCTTCAATGACTCCAACCAACCGGTTGTGGAGTATTTTGAACCCCAATCTGGAATGCGAGAGACACCTACTGTACCGAATGGTTCTGTGCATCTCTTCATGCCTCGTCTCCACGTCATCTGTTGAGCTCCACGTGGTCTCCTCCAGCCCGGAGAGGCTACGCCGAATAAATCGCAGTGCGGTAGACGACAGCTGGGCATACGCAAAACGTGCCTCAGCCGATGAAGTCTGCTAATCCGTGCTAGCAGATTAACAACTGATAAACTTCCAAACACCCGACGGCTAACCTCCGGACTACTAACCCGTTTGCTCCATCCTACGTTCACTACTAAGTAAACGCCGATAATCAAAAAATTCTAGTCGATGGATATATTATACTCGCAAATTCAAGGTTTCACAAGCATAAAGCAGAACTGAACGAACGGTGGCACAATACACACGACCTTTCAACTTCAGAGATACGAGAAAGGAGTAGCTTACTCGGACTGGTGGAGTTTCGCCGAAGATCATACTCGTACACCACATTGTCCAAACAGTTTGCGTACAACCGGGTGCGCAATGAGTCCAGTTGCAAATCGGAATAGCCTGAATCAAATTTAAAAGAAAAGGAAACTGGTGGAAAACTTATTAAAAACTGGGTGTCAATCAATCTGATCGGGTTAAAAAAACAGAAGCAAACAAATGTCCGTGGGCAAACAGTCACATTTTGTTTGAAACCACACCGAAATTCTCCCCCCCCCCTTTGTAAAAAAAAAACGATGTCTACCGACTGTGAGCATTTGGTCATCAGGGGAATCTGGCTCCAGCATTACCTGCTCCGCGGGGGAGGGGCATTGCTCCTTCAGGTTTTTTGTTTTTCTGCGATAAGCAAATTTCAACACACTGAACCGATCCAGTCGAATCCCAATGAAGTAATCATCTTGAGTGTATCAGTCCCGAACGAGTACGACGTGCTCAAAAAATGCATTTTGGCCCCAAATTTGTAACTGCTGATATAGTCTGATATACCAATAGCACGTCAAAAAGAACAGACAGTCACAGGATTATTTGTGTCGAGTACAAACATTGTGCATGAGTCATGAAAGCTGACACCTTCCGATCGATTCTTAGCCAATTGAAATGACCGGAGGAAACAAGAGAATTCAAATGGTTTTAGAAAAGAGATAGACGGATCAGGTTGAGCGTAGCCGATGTGGTTCGTTGAACAGACTGTTCTTATTGATCATCACGACAAGACTGGTCCCTGACATGGTGCGACTGTTTGCTTATTTCTGTGACACAGTGACCTATGCATGATAGCTTTTCTCAACCATGAAGGGAGAGTTAACCGCGTTGAATGCAATTTTCAATGAGTAACCTTTGATCCCATTGCGACTGAGCACTCTTCTCAAACACCTCAGAGTATTTGCTCGTGATGGCTACACCCGTAACTTCATCAACTTAAAGAAAGAAAGAAACAACAGACGGAGAATCGGGAACAAGAACGACCCTACCGTACATCAAGGACATCTCGGAAATGACGACAAGACGGCTCAGGTCATATGGACTCCAAGTCGCCCACAAACCTACCGCCTGTCTAAGGAGACTTCTGTCAAAACCAAAGGAGAGAACAATGGAGAAGGACAAGAGCAGTGTTACCTACAAAATAAACTGTAAGAACTGCCCAAAACACTATATCGGACAAACTGGGAGAAAACTGTCAACAAGGATCCGTAAACAGCAAGCGGCAGTCAGGAGACATGACGCACTATCTTTGATTTCCATCCACGAAGATCAAGAAGGACATCAGTTTGACTTCGCTTCAGTGAAAATC